GTAGTGATAGAGGGTTCGGAAAGTGAAAATAATTAAGATTTCTTGCTTTTTTTAGTTAACTTTTTTTGCTTAATTACTTCCCAGCACTCATCTTTTTCGGCAAAAAGACAGACTGAATTTTCAATAATGGGAAAATTTTCTTTACTGCTGGGTCGATAAACTTTATGGTTAGGATCCAAAATCAAGGCTTGAAAACTATTAGTTGCCCCTTGATATCTTATTTTTTTCAAAATACCAAATAAACGGACTTCTTTACCGAAGGGGATTTGCCAAATTTGCTTTCTTTCTAAGTCATTGATTTCTTGCTTTTTCCAGCCCAAAAGTTCTCCAATTCTAGTTTTCATATATTCAACTTTGACTTCATGGCAATTGTCGACTTCTTCGGCTTGGTCTTCGAAGTCATAAGTGCTAAAAAGTTCAAGAGCAGTTAATAATTCAACTAATATTGTCTTAAATTGGTTTCTTTTAACAGTGTTAGTGAAACCATTCTGATGAAGACAGCCAATTTTCATCTCACTGAAATCAAAAAAAGTTTTCGGCACAATTATATCCGTAAGCAGTTAGTAATAGTTTCTATTCTTATTGGCTGGTATTTAAGACTGCCATTGAGTGGTTTGCGAGTTATTTTTCAAGCCCGGTCTTTGGCTTTTTCCGCAAAAGTTAATTCTCTTTTTCTGGCTTCGTGTTTTTTATATTGCTGATAAATATTTTCTAGATGTCCAATAATTTTTCCGTTTTCTATATTAGAATACTTGTCAAATAATCCTTGGTAAGTTCCTTTTTGGCGAAAGTAATTGTGCATTCTCAAGAAAACTGAACCTAAAGTCGGACCTGCTCGCCAGGCTTGAAATTTTTCCTTAAAAAGTAAGCATTTTTCTTTTTTTAGGACTTCTAAATAAGAGAGATAAAGCAAGTCTTGCATAGTTGAATTTAACTCGATGCCTTTTTCGTAAAAATACTTAGCCACTGAGAGGGGATTGAGGCCCAAAGAAGGCAAATTTAACTTTGGGTAACGGGATTTAATAATTACTGGCATGATAGATATGGTGTTAATCAAACTATTAATAAATAGTGGTAGTATGATATATGTTTATTTTATATACTAATTGTTCTTACCAAGAACGAGTAAATAAGGTCTTTTCTGACTTTTTTGATTACTCTTTTGTTATGTTTTTATAATAGTCTCTTTCAGTTTTTTAATCTTCATCCTCTAGTTCTTTTTTCACAAAAAAAGAGATAAGTTTGGTCTTTAAAAGATTGTTGTTCGAGAGTATTTCA